CTCTGATTGACTTGATGGGTTTTTCTATCTCAAATGGGAAGGACATAGGGGAGCATCTGTTCTGGGTTTTTTGTTGTTGTTATTGTTGTTGGCCTGAGCTCTTTAGCTCAAGGGAGGAGCTACCACTTGAGCCACAGCACCACTTCCAGTTTTCTGGTGGTTTATTGGAGATAGGCGTCTCACAGACTTTCCTGCCCAGGCTGGCTTTGAACCATGATCCTCAGATCTCAGCTTCCTGAGTAGCTAGGATGACAGGCGTTAGCCACCGGCGCCAGGCTGGGTTTTCTTTTCTGTTCAGTCGTGGGGCTTGAACTTGGGTCCTAGGTGTTATCCTTGAGCTTTTTCAGCCAAGACTAGTACTGTAACTGTACCACTTTGAGGCATAACTCCATTTCCAGTTTTTTTGTTGGTTAATTGGAGATAAGAGTCTCAAGGACTTTTCTGCCCTGGCCTCCTGAGTATTAAGATTATAGGCATGAGCTACCAGTGCCCAGCTCTGTGTTTTTGTTTTTGTTTTCTTCTTTTACTTTTTGCCAGTCATGGGGATTGAACCTGGGCACCACTGTCCCTGAGCTTCTTTTGCTCAAGGCTAGCACTTTACCACTTGAGCCCCAGCACCACTTCCGGCCTTTTCTGTTTGTGTGGTACTGAGGCATCAACCCAGGGCTTCATGCATGCTAGGCAAGCACTCTACCACTGAGCCACCTATCCAGCCCCCATGGTTTCCTTTAAACACTCTGTGCATGAAAATTCTCACAGAGTCAATCTAAAACATTTAAATAGATATAAGAATGGGTGCAAATTTGTTGCCAAAAAATTCCTTGTATCTTAAAAAAAAAAAGTGAGTTTTCGTTCTTAAATATGTGTTACTGTGTGCCCACTGTGGATCTCAACATCTCCCAGTCTGTGCTGTGACCACCCAACCTTTTTAAGTAGGACTGTCATGCAGACCATCATCCATGGTTGGTGTTAGAGCTTTAGGCGTACCCAATTCCTGTTGTATGGTATTGGGGTACGTCATGCTGTGATCTGAGCCCATTACTACGTGGAGTATTGGAAGCCAGGTGTCAGATACAGAGGGTAAAGACTGAGGTTGCAGGAAGCAGTAGGCAGAGGTGGGCATAGTGGCCGTGGGTTCTCGCCCCACCAGAGACATCAACATGTCTGGTGAAAACTCAGGCTCTGGAGTCAAAGCCCTGTGTGTTCGGCAGAGTCGACTACTTCTGCAGACTCACTTCCCCCTCAGACATCTCTCACTGTGGTCAGTGACTATAGCCTCAGCGAACCGAGAGGACACAGGTGTATGGAAGCATAAATAAATAAACCACAAATGCACTGTTGTAGGACTCCATCTCTTCATAAACGGAGCAAGTGAATTTATTCTGTGTATGTGTGTGTGTGTGTATGTGTGTGTGTGTTTATTTATCCTGGGGCTTGAGCTCAGGTCCTGGACACTGTCCCTGAGTGTTTTTTTTTTGTTGTTGTTGTTGGTCATGGGGCTTGAACTCTGGGCTTGGGCACTGTCCTTGTGCTCTTCAGCTCAAGGCGAGCGCTCTACCACTTGAGCCACAGCACCACTTCCAGTTTTCTAGTGGTTTATTGGAGATAAGAGTCTCACAGAGTTTCCTGCCCGGGCTGGCTTTGAACTGTGATCCTCAGATCTCAGCCTCCTGAGTAGCTAGGATTACAGGCGTGAGCCACCGGCGCCAAGCTGGTCCCTGAGCTTTTGCTCAAGGCTAGCACTCTACCACTTGAACCACATCTGCACTTCTGGCTTTTTTTGGTGATTAATTGGAGATAGGAGTCTCACAGAGTTTTCTGCCAGGCCTGGCTGAATAACTGTGGTTACAGGCGTGAGCCACTGGTGCCAGGCATGGATTCATTCTTGATGAAACACCAGGGCAGAGAGAGGGGAACACTGGTAATCTCTGTTTGAATGTAGAGTTAGTTACTTTGGGGATTGTGTGTTTTGTTTTTTGTTTGTTTCTTTGTTTTGTTTTGCCAGAACCTAGGCACTGTCCCTGAGCTGCTTTTGCTCAAGGCTAGCGCTGTACCACTCAAGCCACAGCACCACTTCTGGCTTTTTCTGTTCATGTGGTACTGAGGAATCAAACCCAGGGCTGCATGCATGCTAGGCAAGCACTCTACCACTAAGCTATATTCCCCGCCCTGGTTGTGGGTTTTTATAGAAAATATTAGTCATTAGCCGGGCGCTGGTGGCTCACGCCTGTAATCCTAGCTACTCAGGAGGCTGAGATCTGAGGATCATGGTTCAAAGCCAGCCCGGGCAGGAGAGACCGTGAGACTCCTATCTCCAATAAACCACCAGAAAACCGGAAGTGGCACTGTAGCTCAAGTGGCAGAGCGCTCGCCTTGAGCTGAAGAGCTGAGGGACAGCGCCCAGGCCCAGAGTTCAAGCCCCACGACCGACAAAAAAAAAAAAAAGAAAATATTAGTCATAAAACATCATGCGGTGTTTTTTTTTTTTAAACATGGTTAAAAAAATCAGACTCCCTCGTTGTTGTGGCATGTTTTATTCTTGGTTCTCCCTTACTCTGATTATATCTGTATGAGCATGTGCAAGCCAGTGACCTGTGTCCTTCTGCTCTACTTCTGTTAGCTTCCTACTCCCTCCCTCTTCCCTGTTCTTTATTTTGAAAGCACAGACTTATGGATGAACTTGAGGTTGCCACTAGTACTTTCTAGAATTTCCTTGTCCTTTGAAGGAAAGTTAAACCTGTGTGTGATCAGCCTGTGGTGTGTGAGGCACTGGCTGTATTGGGATACCCTGGTCTCTACCATCCCTCTCACCTGGGGTTGAGCATCTGTCCGTGCCCATGTATGACTGTGACCAAGTACAACTGAAGGCTACAGACGTACTAGCCAAACTCCAGTCCACCCTCCTTCCCACCTTCCCTGCCTGCCTGCCTGCCTCCTTTCTTCCCTTCCCTCCTTCCCTCCTTCCTCTCCTTCCTTCCCTCCCTCCCTCATTCCCTCCCTTGCCTTTTGTCCTTAGGGGAATGTGTAACCAGAATACTGTGTTTCAGACTTTCAGTTTGATGCAGTTAGAATAATTTCTGTGTGTATTTAGTCGCAGAGTTTGCTTGTTTTTATCTCTGGTGTACAGTTTGTCTTATGGTGCTGCTGGGGATCAAATCCAGGCGCTTGTGTTTGCTGGACAAGTGCTCTACCACTGAGCTACATCCACACCCCCTGCAGTTTTTGTTAAAGTGGGACTTACTACAGTAAGGGGCACTCAGATCTCAGTCCTCTTCACCCTGCCTCTACCTGTCCCTGGATATAGTCATTGTCACTTGTTGCTGTGCTGTAAAAATACAAGAGGACATACTAACCCTGCCCATCTCCCAGGCAGTAAGTACTAATCACCCCTCAACGGTTGCTGCTTCCTCTCCAGCGAGAACTGACCATAGGTCAAACCTTATTGAAGCATAGTGGGCATTGAAACATGTATGTGCGAGTGAAATTCTATACTCTGGCCTTCTTAGGGTAACCGTGTAAAGGGATAAGAGAGCAGAAGCCCCTTGCCCACCGTTCTTCCCTCCAGATTCCCTGCACCCACCCCCTTGTGGACTGGTATCCATGGCACCCTGCTGCACAAGCCCTTTGTGTTTGGCTCCTCTGCCCCACGTGACACAGAGGACCCGTCTTTTGGCCATACAGTGTAGTTTGTTGTGTTACTGTGTGGTAGCTCAGGGCCAGGCAGGCTCGTCTGCGCATGCTGGAGTGATCCCTGCTCTTCTATGGCTCCTGGTCTCCAGCCATTGGCCTGACAGGAGCCTAGCCAGTTCCTTTGGGTGGACATTTAGTTACAATTAATGTCACATGAACCCTTTAATAGGGCTTTGTGAGGTATGAGATTAACAGAAAATTTTGCTGGGTGCCAGTGGCTCACGCCTGTAATGATCTTAGCAACCCAGAAAGCTGAGATCCAAGGATCACAGTTTAAAGCCAGACTAGCTAGGAAAGTCCATGAGACTCTAATCTCCAATTAGCTGCCCAAAAAAGCAGGAGGTGGAGCCATGGCTTGAGTAATAAGCGATAGTCTTGAGCAAATAAGCTAAGGGATAGCACTCAGGCCTGAGTTCAAGCTTCAGGACTATCACACACATAAAAGTATCAGTTTAAAATATGTTATGTAGAAAAAATGAGACAAAGAAGGTAAGAGGCATGAGGGTGAGTGTGGGTGTGGGTGTGGGCGTGGGTTAGACAGTAGGAAGAGTGCTTGGCAGGGACTGGCTGCTGATGGACAAGCAAGAATGCAAATTGTTAGGATAAAATCCTAATTTTTTTTGTTAGTCATGGGGCTTGAACTAAGGACCTGGTACTTTCCCTGTGCTCTTTTGCTCAAGGCTAGTGCTTTACCACTTTGAGCCAAACTTTTATTTCTGGTTTTCTGGTCGTTAATTGGAAATAAGAGTCTCATGGACTTTCCTGATTGGGCTGGTTTTGAATCGTGATCCTCAGATCTCAGCCTCCTGAGTAGCTAGGATTGCAGGCTTGAGCCACAAATACCCAGCCCCAAAATTCTACAGTGTGTAGACTCATGGTTCTTTCTTGGGTTCATTGTGCCAAATTATTTTATTTGTGAGATTTCCTTAATTTAGGGGGGGGGGACACTTTTCTGTCATGACAATAGTCGGTATTAGTGTGTGTTCAATTGAAAATTGCATTGCTTGGTTGGGAAGGAGTGGAGGCTGGCTTGAGTCCTGTGGAGTATACATCCTCTGTCAGAATCGAGGAACAAAAGAAGAAAGGCCCTGTCTTGTGGTCAAGAGATGAGCACAGGGCAGGAGGCAGCATCTGGGTAGAGGTTTCTGCTTATAAACCTAACTGGGCTTATTTTCCTTAGCTGGATTATGGTTATAATCCAGCTCTCAGTGTGGACACCAAAGTTGGATAATAACCACAATGCCTAATGAATGCAAAGAAGATTATCAGTAAGCCTGAACTTGTGTTGGGCGTGTGCTAGCAGTTCTCTCCTGAGTTACACACTCTTGTGTTTTGTTTTGTTGTTGTTGCTTTCTTTTGTTCCAGTACTGGGTTTGAACTCAAGGCTTCACACTCTCCCGTACTTTTTCCACACAGGCTAGTGCTGTACCCCTTCATGCTTTTTGCTTGTTAATTGGTGATGAGGCTGGCTTTGAACCTTGATTTTCAGATCTCAGCCTCTTGAGCAGCTAGGATTTACAGGTGTGAGCCTGTACTGGCTCATTATATTTACACTGTGTGCTGTCTCACCATTCCTAGTATTGCACACAGTAGGTTCTCAGTTCCAACTTAGTTGAAACCATGGAGGATGTAACAACTGGGTATCATTTCAAAATTTATTACATTGTCATCCACCTTGTCAGTCCTGAGCACATTGGAAATACTAAAATAGCAAACAGGTTTTTAGACTGGTTTTTAGACAGGGTTCTGGGCCTTGAGTTGTGGGGCATTGGGAATCTCCAGAAGGGGCTGAAGTTGACAGTTAATTTGGTGACAGGTGAACTGTGCAGCCAGGGGTTTTGCTTGTCTCTGAGCTCGTATGGTTGTACCTGTCCACTCTGTGAGCATGGGCACCATGCTCTGTCCAGTACAGATAGCCAGGCCAGTTTGCACGGAGTACAGGTGGGAGAGGCCCATGGAACTGGGGTTCTCAGGTGACTGTAGAAGGTTACATGAAAAACAGTGGAACAGACCAGGAAACATTTTGAGCCCAACCCAAAGTAGAATTTTCTTGGCTTTCTTGCCTGCTTGCCTCCGTCTGTCCGTCCTTTTCACTTAATAAAGGTGATAGGAATGTTTACTAGGAAAGAAATAGGGCATAGATCTGCCTGCCACACAAAGATGGAGCTTGAGTCCATCTCGGCCCTCTTCCTCCTGAAGTAGCATCTTCTTCGCAGATGGCAGCGCGTCCGGAAGATGGTGATCTCTGTTCTTGGAAATGGTTTCTGGGCAATGTGGAAGCACTGGATCCCATCCAGCCTCATCTGTGAATTTGTCATGATTTCCTCTGTTTGCTAATATTTACTTTCTCTTTCAGCATTTTAGGCTTATTCCCATAAGTAATTAGAAACAGCATTCATGATATGTAGTTGGAGTGTTTCTTAGTTCACACTGACCATGCCAACGGTCTAATAAGCAACACTGTTAGCAGCCAGACCAAAAGAAAAAGGTAAAACAAAGGTAGATTTAGGGATGATGTACTGCAGGAAGGGGAAGATGTGTGTGACTTCGTCTGGGCTGTGTGGGCTCTGGTCCCAAGGACTCAGGGTTTGCCTGCTGCCAGTCAGTGGCTGCTGTGGATGAAGGTAGGGAAAGACAGGAAGAAAGAGCAGGCAGCCCTATGGAACTCTTTCAGGAGAATATTCAGGTCTGGGATGAAGCTCTGTCTTTGCAGTGGGGGAAGAGAGGGAAGGTACTGTCCACCTATAGCTACACCTGAGAAGATGGTAGCCACTCACTGTGCATGCAGATACACTACTGGTGCGGTGGTGCCTGGAGATGAAAAGGAGGCCCCCGGGTGACAGGAAGAGCCTTACAACCCCAGTGATAGAGCCAGACTACAGAAAAAAAAAGGAAGTTCGAGGCTAGTATTTAACAGTATTTATGGGCTATGGCCCACCATGATCTGGCACTGCACTATTAGCTGGAAGTGGAAGGGTGATGTTACTGTTGTTTGATGGGAATTGAGGGATTCCATTTGGTTACCGTCGTGAGCATCTCTGTTCCTACCTACACTAGACTAAGCTGTGTCAGCTCTGTTTTCTGCAGTGGGGGAAGGTGATGTGCAAGTGAGCCTTGCTTGAAAGCATTCTGAACCTTGACTGAGGGCTCCTGGAGAAGAAGAGACAGAACCACCTCCCTGTTCACTAGCCAACCGCCCGGGCTTCACCAGGATTGGGCCAGTTGGTTTATCCCCAAGCCCACACTCCTCTCTGCAGTGCTTGAATGAAGTCAGGACTCCATCCACCATCCATCCATCTATCCACCCATTCACCATCCCTCTGTCCATACATATATACGTGTATATACCCACCCACCCATTCATTCATCCAACCATCTATCCACCCATCCATCAATCTATCCATCTATGTAGATACCCATCCATCCACTATCCATTCATCCATCTGTCCACCCATTCATTCATCCAACCATCTATCCACCCATCCATCAATCTATCCATCTATGTAGATACCCATCCATCCACTTACCCATCCATTCATCCATCTGTCCACTCATTCATTCATCCAACCATCTATCCACCCATCCATCAATCTATCCATCTATGTAGATACCCATCCATCCACTATCCATTCATCCATCTGTCCATCTAATCATCCATCCACCAGCCAGCCAGTCAACCAACGATCTATCCATCCATCCTCCAGCCAGCCAACCATCTATCTACCCATCCATCATCCAGCCAGCCAACCAGCCAACCAACCAACCATCTATCTACCCATCCATCATCCAGCCAACCAGCCAGCCAACCATCTATCTACCCATCTATCAGCCAACCAGCCAACCACCCAACCATCTATCTACCCATCCATCATCCAGCCAGCTATACAGGCACCCACCTATCCATCCACTAGCCAGCCAAACATCCATCTGCCCATTCATCCATCATCCATTCTCTCTCTCTCTCTCTCTCTCTCTCTCTCTCACACACACACACACACACACACAGCCCTCATTTACTGTTCATTTTGTACAGGACTCTATGATCATAATGACTAGTATCAACAAGACTCATCTTGTTAAAGAGCCAGAGTTGACAGCCCCAGGCTGCATGTTCTGCTTGGAGGAATGGCTGCAGCCAGGTTGGAGGGCATCCAAGTATCAGAGGATATCACACACACACAGACACACACACACACACACACACACACACAGATAGATTTGTAAATGAGCCAGCCTTGTAAGGCATCCTCTTGCACATGGCGAGGGGAAGTGAGTCAGTATATGGCTCAACAATTTCTAGGAAAGTAGTGACACAGTGCTCTTTCTTTTGGTTTTAAATTAGCATATGCCAGTTGGCGAGAGTCTCAGTGTGGTGCTGCAGTACACACACATAATGCTCTGTGCTGGAGTTCACATGTATGTGGCAGAGGGCTTAGGCGGCAGGTAGATGGCAGGAGCTCTTTCTGATGTATGGTAGTTGCTGGGGAGTAGCCGCCCATGTCCTCCTTAGTCTCGGATTTCAGGCCTGGTTGGGTGGACGTGAGGACTGGCCTGCCTTCTCTCATCTCCTTTTCTCTGCAAACTCCCAAGGGAAGTGCAAGGAGCTTTGTGCACTGCTCTGCAGAGGTCGCCGGGCCAGGCAGGATGTCAGTGTCTTCTCTGTGTGTACATTGAATGCAGAGAAGGTAGATTTAAAAAGAACAGAAACCTTTTACAGTGTTTCAGTTCACTCATAAAGGTCTTTTTTTTTTTTTTAAATTCAGTCCTGGGGCTTGAACTCAGGGCCTAGTCACTGACTGTGAACTTTGTGCTCAAAGCTAACACTCTATCACTTTGAGACACAGCACCACTTCCGGTTTTGTAGTGGTTAATTGGAGCTAAGACTCTCACAGACTTTCCTGCTCAAGCTGGCTTTGAACCACAATTTTCAGATCTCAGCCTTCTGAGTGGCTAGGATTACAGGCATGGACCACCAGTACCCAGCTCTAAAGATCTTTTTGATGGGGCAGAAATGTGGCTTAGTGGTAGAGTGCTTGCCTAGGATGCATGAAACCCTGGGTTCAATTCTTCAGTACCACATAAAGAGAAAAGGCTGGAAGTGGTGCTGTGGCGGAGGTAGTAGAGTACTGGCCTTGAGCAAAAGAAGTTCAGGGACAGTGCCAGGCCCTGAGTTCAAGCCCCAGGACTAGCCAAAAACAAAAACAAAGATCTTTTTTATCAGTCCAGTGCTAGAATCAGATTGGTTATTTGGAGACCAGAAAGAACCAAGTTTTGAAAGCATAAGGCTTTTCCACAAACGACAGACATTCCTGACATTAGTGTCCCAGAAACAGGTTCTGAAAGTCCAACCAGAAAGAAAAAACCCAAAATTGTGTACAGGGTGTTTTTGTGCTTGCCTTTGAGCTCACCCCTTCGTTCTCTCTGCAGTGAACACCTACCTCTTCATGGTGCAGGCCCAAGGCATTCTGCTGCGGGACAACGTGAGGACCATCGGTGCTCAGGTGTACGAGCAGGTGGTTCGCAGTGCCTATGCCAGGAGGAACAGCAGCCTCAACGACTCAGGTAGGTAGAAGGGAGGCCGTCCGCTTAGGACTCGCGGCTTGAGTCACTTGAGAGGAGAAGATTGACTGCAGAAAGGGAGTCTGCCTCCCAGAGAGCAGTCTTGCCCCGGAGTCCACACTTGACTGGCTGCATACTCAGGTCTCATTCCTGCTTCTCTGCAGGGGGCAGAGTGTCTTTGAGGATGCTCTGAAGGTTTTCTGTTACAGTGTGACATCTTGCCACGCCTCCGAGCGGACTGAGAATGCACTTAGAACCTCAGAAGAGCAGGAGCACCAAAAGCGGCTTGGGAAATAATTGGATATTCTCAGGAAATGTGTTCCTCTATCCAGTGGAGGATGTCAGGCAGGCAGGAGACAACGACTTGGATTCGTCACACTTGTTCTTGGAGTTTGTTGTTTGAGGTGCGCGAGGCAGCCGTGGCTGTGACAGTCTGCCTGTGGTGGCTTCTGGGGAGGACTTTCTGTCGTTCATGGATGCTTTTGCTGAGATAGCAGATTTCTACTTCATAACCATCATGTGATTGGGGACTGGTGCATGAAAGTTGCAGTTCTTGTGGAGGAAGGAGTTTCCTTCCTGTTCACCCTGGCTGTTTATTCTGTGTTTAATCTGCTATAGCAGCAGAAAGGTGAAAACTTGGGTGAGGTTCTTTTGGCTTACCAGTGTTAGACTGAAGTCTGTGATGAGATGGCCCCTTGCTTTTGGGCTGCGGTGGAGGCAGTCTGCCCACCTCAGGACCATAAAGCAGAAGGAAGGAAGATCCCACTTTCTCCTCAGGGCCTGAAGACCCTGTGGGCCTTGCCCATTGAATTTCCCACTGCCTCACAGTAGTGCAAGTTGGGGACAAGCCTCCACCACAGGGCCTGCAGAGTCACCCAGATCCAAGCCCTAGCTGGTGACCAGGCTCTCATCTTGTAAGAATACTGTTCTTTACACCATTCCACTCTTGGCTGTGGTGCTAGGAAGAGAAAACACAGACGTTGGATGACAAAGGGCCTGCCCAGCATTGTGCTAGAATTGTTCCAAATAGTGGTCTTTTTTTTTTTTTTTGCCTGTCGTGGGGCCTGAACTTTGGGCCTGGGCACTGTCCTTCAGCTCTTCAGCTCAAAGCTAGGCTCTATCACTTGACCCACAGTGCCACTTCCGGCTTTTTCTGTTTATGTGGTGCTGAGGAATCGAACCCAGGGCCTCATGCATGCAAGGCAAGCGCTCTACCACTGAGCCACCTTCCCAGCCCCCAAATAGTGGTCTTGATTAACTGTTTTGTTTCGTTTTTTGGTGGTCCTGGGCTTGAAAGCTGGACAGTGTCCCTGAACTTCTTTTGCTCAAGGCTAACACTCTACCACTAAGCCACAGCACCAGTTCTGGCTTTTTGTTGTTGTTGTTTATGTGGTACTGAGGAATAGAACCCAGGGTTCCATGCATGCTAGGCAAGCACTCTTACCACAAAGCCACCTTTCCAGCATGATTAGCTGGTTTTATACGAAACTACCTATCACGTTCTTCACCTTGAAGATATAAGAGCAAGCTCCCCCACCCCCATCTTGTTTTGTTTCTGCTTGTTTTATGACATTCTTGCTATGTAGTTCAGTTTGGCCTTGAACTCCTGCTGAGTACAGACTCTGGAATCCCAGGATCATAGGCATACCACCACCATACTTGGCTTTTTTTTTTTTTAGCTGAGAAACTGAATATAAGTGCTTCCACCGTTAGACTTCCCTGCCTGACCAGAGATGGGGTGGGGGAAGGTGGGGAGAGAGAGAATTTCTGAGATTTCATTTGGCAAGCACTGGTGATGTGCCCCAAATCTGTGGCTTTTCTTACTGGTTTTACCCAAGCCAGATAGAAAAACACGAGTAGGACATTGCTTCCCTCTGAATGGTCTTATCTGCTGTTTGTGAGCTGTGCAAATGAAACTTAATGCTTATGTTTGGGAAATCAGGAGTTAAGGGAAGTTAAATCCTTAAAAGAACTGACCACATCCTTATTTATCAGTTTGCCCTACCAGCCAGCTTTGTGCAACAAAGGGCTGTGGCTAAGAAAATGATAAGCTAGATCCGTCCTTCCTCCAGTTTGCGGAAAGCTGGGTAGAGACTTGTCAGATATCTTCACACTGGGGCTACCTGGGTCCCACTGGAAAGGATCCCTGTGCTTCCCTGTGTCCTCATGCATTGTGTAGCTAGATGTTGCAGACTGTGTCAGCTGAGCTGGTCTGGGAGGCAGGATTTTCCTTCTTTTTCAGTCCCATCCCAGCCCCTCTGTCTTTCACAGTCACACCCCATCTTTTGTGTACCTCCTTTGTTAGGGAGGGCAGAGCATCTGGGTCATGTGACTCCTGCCCCATGTTCTGGGTGAAGGAACTTGTGCCTTCATGCCTTCTCCAGTTCAGGTGTTTCTGTTGCTTCTCCAAGGTCAGCCGAGGCTGCCACATCTGGGCATGTGGCAAGCTCGGCACTCTCAGAAGTCAGAGGCTGCGGCCCAGGAGCTAGGCCCTGCCCACAGCGCTGTCCACAGAACTCTCGCTCCTTGCACAGAGCTTGTGTCCGTATTCTCATTCTCAAATTACCATACACCACAGGAATCTACCCTCCCCCCTCCCTAGCTTGCATTATAATCTAATTTTTAAGAAATTAGTTTTGTTTTAGTTTGACAGTTTTAATTTTAGTTTGAACTCTGAGTCAGCTTGCTTGCTCAGCTGGTGCTGTATCTTGAGCCATACCCACATCCCTGTGTTTTGCTGTTGATTGGAGGTGGAAACCCACAGACTTTTCTGCCTGTGTTACTTTCCACTGTGATCCTCCATTTGGTCTTTGATTTTTTTTTTGTTTTGCTAGTTCTGGGGCTTGAACTCAGGGCCTAAAAGCTTCTTATTGCTCAAGGTCAACACTTTGCCACTTGAGCCACAGCCCCACTTCTGGACTTTTCTGTTTATGTGGTACTAGGAATCGACCCCAGGGCTTCATGCATGCTAGGCAAACACTCAGCCACTAAGCCACATTCCCAGCCTTCACTTTGTTTTTAAAACAGGATTTTATTATTAGCTCAGGCTGGCCTTGAACTCACCATTCTTCTGTTTCATCCATTCTCACAAGTTACTAGGGTTAGAGGAATGTACCCCTATCCCTGACAAATCACCAAGTTTGTGTTGAATATATCTGCCCCCCTAGTAGACCGAAGTCTTTGCCTTCAGAGACTGCCTTGCTGCATGGTGGACAGAACATTATGTCGTGTTTCCTCCCAGGAACTCAGAGAGTGGCTCTGTGTCCTGTCGTAGGGATGGGGCTCCAGGGTGCTCACGTTAGGGACCTGGGTGCAGCACGGAGTGGGGGGTGGCTGACTGCCCTGCCATTCCCACCTTGGTTTAAATGAGGGAGTAGATTGACTAGGAAGCCACAGAAGGAGCTGAGACCAGGTCAGCTCCAGTGTCACTGCACACGCGCTGTTCGGGTTCCCCTCAAGGCGTTTCTCCGCCTGGCCCAGTCAGACAGGGTGTTGAGGACCAACATCTGCAGCTAGCCAGTGCCTGCATACATTGAGTGCCCATGCCCTGAGCGGCAACCAAGGGAACAGAAAGCCTTGGTGTGGCCCTAAGTCATATTTTATTTTGAGCTTAAAAACCAAAGTGGCAGTTGTCTTCTAAGAATGTACTTTTGGAAATCAGGACTGGGCGTCTGGAAATGAACCTGATGAGGTGACCAGGACATACTTCCTGCGGCAGGAGATTTGTGGATGTGTATAACCACAAATCTTGCACAATTTGCCATTGGTTGAGGTGGGGGTGAGGGTGCCCCAGACTACTAGCATTGGGAGAGAGCTTTCTGGCTTCATCCCACCCAGCCCGGCTTGGAAGTGAGGGGCTAGGCTGTTGGTCGGCTCTTCTCAGGCCGACCCGCAAGTTCCAGGTGCCCTCTGCTACCAATTTACAATCCCCACCATCTCCCTCCCCTGCTCATCACACTCCACACTCTAGAATGTTCTGATTGCTTCAACGTACATCTCTTGCCATGGTGGGTAAGGCAAGTGAGCTCGGGGGGGCAGGGAGGGGGGATGGCCTGCGGCCTTACTTCACACATAGGCTTCTCCGCCACGACTGGTGTTTATGGAATGGTCATCCTAAACACCAAAGCTGGCCCTAGCACAGTTAGGAGAGGAGAGGGCAGTGAGGATGGGGACAGGGAGAAGGAAGGGGAGGAGAGCCTGTTGTCCATGGAGAACGCTGCATAGTGTGGAAGGGCACCGGGTCATGCTGGGGCAGCTGGCACATGAAGAGATGGGTACTCGGTGGGAGGAGAAGTATGCCCTTCAGTTAGTTACAGTGCACAAAAGCTCCTGGTGCCAGGAGAACAGACCCGAGTCCTGCCCACAGCTCCCTCCCTCCTTACCTTCTGATCCATGGGTTCATGACTTTAGCCATGACCCCACCAAGTGGACGCGGGAGGGAAGTGCTTCAGAGGGCTGGTGGGAACCGGTGGCATGTACCAGTCTGAGTTTTCTCTCCCTTACTCCATAGATTACCCTCTTGACTTGAACCACAGCGAGATCTCCCCTCCAACCACGACCTTTCTTCCTGAAGACTTCACCTACTTTGCAAACCATCCCTGCCCCGAGAGGCTCCCTTCCATGAGTGAGTAGCAGTGCAGCCCCTGGGCTTTGGGACGGGCCTATCCCTGATTAGAAGAAAGGGGAGACTAAGCATCTCTGCCTCTTTGAAGGGTGGAAATGATTCTCTGCCACCAGGAGCATAGTCTGGAGAAGTCACTTTGCAGGGCTGCTCCTGCCTGGTGTTTTACACCCTCTTCCTCCATCCTTTACACATGCCCCTCCTTTGTAACTAGAGGGTTGTCTGTTACTATAAACCAACACTGATGATAACGACTTTGATAAGTCAGAGGTTTTGTTTTTAACAGGCTTGTTTAAAAGAAAAATCTCTAGATCCTCACTTTTGTTTTTCTGTGCTATGTTTGGAATCCCATGTGTGATCTAAAACATGATAGCCAACGAACAACACATTTCTGTACTTTGGGTGCTTAGTTCTGCCTCTCCCCTTTCCTCCCCTCCCTCCCCTCCAACCATGGTCCTCCAGATCTAAGCCTCCCGAGTAGCTAGTTTTATAAGCATGAGCCACTGGTGCCCAGCTTGCTTGCTTACTTCTTTCTCTCTCCTTCCCCCATTCTTCCTCTCACCTCTCCCCCTCCCCTCTTTCCTCATTTTTCTTTTTGCTGGTCCTGGGGCTTGAACTCAGGGCCTAGGCTCTGTCCCTGAGCCTCTTTGTGCTTAAGGTTGGTGCTCTACCGCTCGAACTACAGCTCCACTTCTGGCCTTTTCTGAGTCGTTTATTGGAGATAAGAATCTCACAGGGACTTTCCTGCCTGGGCTGGATTTGAACCTTGATCTTCAGGTCTCAGCCTCCTGAGAAGCTATGATTATAGATATGAGCCACCAACACCTGGCTATTTATTTATTCTTTAAGGCAAATAAGTTGACTTTTTTGCCCAGTGAAAATGGAGTTGGCGCCGGGCGCTGGTGGCTCACGCCTGTAATCCTAGCTACTCAGGAGGCTGAGATCTGAGGATCGCGGTTCAAAGCCAGCCCGGGCAGGAGAGACCGCGAGACTCCTATCTCCAATAAACCACTCAGAAAACCGGAAGTGGCGCTGTAGCTCAAGTGGTAGAGCGCTCCTTGAGCTGAAGAGCTGAGGGACAGCGCCCAGGCCCAGAGTTCAAGCCCCACGACCGACAAAAAAAAAAAAAAAAGAAAATGGAGTTGGCAGGTACTTGGTATCTGAGCATGCGCTTGTCCCTCATGCACGTCTGGGTGTGGGCACTCAGGTGCTACTGGAAGCCTGCTCTTTCGTCACGTCTCCCTACGTATGTCAGTCATCTTCCTGGAACCTCAGTTTTAGTTTAATAACAGAGTAGTGTTATCGAATCATCATTCACACATCTGGCCTGAGGTCATGAGACGCTACCTGCTCTTGCCTCTTCAGTACAGCCCATGGCCAAGGTCTTAACCTTCCCTGTACTTCTTTACTGGCTGGTAGTGATGCCCTGAAATGCACAGTGGGAAGTGGGCTGCTGCTCAGCCCCTGGTAAAGCACCAGCGAAGGGAACATTGGTCTCCCTGGGGACTAAGGGGGACAGAGGGAGAATCTGGTCTTGTACACCCTCTTGACCTTTTCTCCTGTGTGTTCATTCAGAGGGCCCCATCGATGTAAACATGAGTGAGATCGGAATGGACAGCATCCATGAGCTCTTCTCCAGAGACCCCACCATCAAGCTTGGGGGCCACTGGAGGCCTTCCGACTGCGTGCCCCGGTGGAAGGTGGGGTGTCGGGCATGGCCCAGGGCTGCAAAGCCCATTTCCTCATCCGGCTCACTTCTCCCCACCACTGTGTTTGCATCAGATAGAGTCCACGGGTTCTTCCCTCAACATAGAAATTGGCATTGAAAGTGGCGCTGTAGCTCAAGTGGTAGAGCGCTCGCCTTGAGCTGAAGAGCTGAGGGACAGCGCCCAGGCCCAGAGTTCAAGCCCCATGACCGACAAAAAAAAAAAAAAGAAATTGGCATTATTTTGGTGATGGGGCAGGAGTGTGTTTGGAAACTTGAGGGGGAGGAGGTCTAGTGGCAGCCACAGAGCCGGCTCCACAGCCAGCACTCCATGCCTTGTCTTCGTGGTGACAGTAAGACCTATGCAGGATGGGGTGGGAGGGCTCAGGTGGTAGAGCTACTGTACATGTGCAGAGGATAGGATATAGAATGGAATAGAATAGAATGCAGCTTAGCCCCAGGTTTGCTCAAGGCTGTTCTTCCTGGCTGTGAGGTCTCTCAGTGTGGACAAGTTTGTACGGCCGAGCATTTATGGCAGTGGGAGGCACACAGTGTACTGTGCGGCGGGCACCGGGTAAGAGCTCAGTGCAGTTAGGCGAGAAGACGCTCTGAGGCCCACGGTGGTCTTGCTGGCGCAGGCCTGCAGCACGGGATGTGGACGCCCCAGACCTTCTGCAGGGGTGCCCGGCTCTACGGACGACCAGGGAACTGACCTGGTGACTTCCTCTTGTGACCTGCTGCAGGTGGCCATCCTTATCCCCTTCCGGAACCGCCACGAGCACCTGCCAGTCCTGCTCAGACACCTGCTGCCCATGCTCCAGCGGCAGCGCCTGCAGTTCGCATTCTACGTGGTGGAGCAGGTGAGCAGTGGGCCCTTGCCTCTCCTGCTCTTCTGAGGCAGCGGTGGAACTGCTGGTGCTGATCTGTCCTCAGTGCCTGGAGCCACGGCGCAGAAACCGCAGCACCAAGCTGCTCTGAGTGGTGTGTGGTGTTGCCCAACTCTGCAGATCTGTGTTTCCTCCTGTTCCCTCCGGCCTGTGCTGGTGTTATCTGCAGCCTCCCAGCCCAGGAAGCGCCTGAAATCCACCGAAGAGGTCGGGCCCAGGGAGTGGCCATGGGGTGGAGACTACCAAATGTTTAGGAGCCTTGTGCCGCTGGCCAGGGCCTCTGCAGACTTCTTTGAGCCTCTGGTGTAGTTTTGCTCTAACATTAAGCGTATTGGGATTAAAGACCCACATGGCAAATTGAGTCAGTAAATTTGCCCCTGCCCCCTTCCCCTCCTGCGGTTGTGTAGTATTCTGTGTGTGTGTACACGCGCGCATGTGTGTAAATGCGTGCTCGCTCGCTCGCACTGAGTGTTGTCCCTTAGCTTTTATGCTCCAGCCTCTACTCCTTGAGCCACTTTTGGGTTTTTGATGCTTAATTGGAGATAAGAGCCTCATAGACTTTCTTTCCCAGGCTGCCTTTGAACTATGAACCTCAGCTTCCTGAGCAGCGAGGATTACAGGTGTGAGCCATTGGTGCCTAGTATTTCTTTTTTGGTTTTTATTTTGGTCTGGTGACACAGGGGTTCGCTTTGTGGCCCAGGCCATCCTCAAACTCAGGAGTTCTGGGGTTTGCCAGGCACCACCACGTTCAACTTTGATCCCATAGCCCTGGAGTTGTACAGGCTCCATAGGCGAACACAAACTGCAGAGTTCCCCTGGTACTCTGGGCTCCCCGGTGAGGCTCGTGTGGCGCCCTGCCTCCTGAGCACTCCAAGGCTCTGCCCACACTGCTCTGCCTGTGCGTGGCTCCTTCTACTACACCACAGATCAAGAGGAAGAGTGGGAGTGGGGTGCAGTCACGACTCCTGCCTCCCTGGGCTTGAGCCCCTGCGGATCTGACATCACTGTGCTCATGCCTGACCCAGGCTGGGTACTGGTCACTGGCCAGGTAACAAATGCCAGCGTTGGGATTGGCGAGGCCATGCCTGGGAGCTGCTTTTCAGAGCCGCTGAGTTCTTGGTCACTAGGCCTGAGTCCTAGTGAGCTCAGTGATGTTGTCCCCTCCTCATACTAGGTTTGCCTTAGACAGAAGTTACAGTTAGTCAGTGACTGGCAGATGTTGCTGAGTGGCAAGGACCAGAGGAGGCCAGTGTTCCTCCTACCATCCCCTTCACTTCGGTTAAACGGAGGATTCTGCCTTGGCAGCCATGGAGAGGAGAGCTCGGGTTTGCCCCCAGCTCTGTATCCGAGGACAACCGCGCTGGAGCACAGGCGACCCTGTGGGCCGCCTCCCCAGAGGGGCTGGGCCCAGCACGCATGCACATGGAGACCTCCTCCAGTTGCTTCTCATTCGGCATGGTGAAGAGCAAAGATTTTACTCAAGAATCACCTAAAGAAAGAATCTGCCTCTTGTAGGTTGGCACCCAACCCTTTAACCGAGCCATGCTTTTCAACGTTGGTTTTCAAGAAGCCATGAAGGACCTGGAGTGGGACTGTCTGATTTTCCATGACGTGGACCACATCCCGGAAAGCGACCGCAACTATTACGGGTGTGGGCAGATGCCCAGGCACTTTGCACCTAAACTGGACAAGTACATGTACCTGTGAGTATCGCGCCCTCCCGTCAGCAGTGGCAGAGACGAGGTGCACGGGTGGTCCCGGGTGTCGTCAGCTGGTGGACAAGTTGCAGGGCTCTCTTAGCAAAGAAAGGGGACAGTGGGATGTGTGCCTTCGAGACACCGCTAAGAGAAAGGCCAGCACTAAGCCCATGGACAGGGCAGTTCTGTGTATTGAGTGGAAGCTTTCAGAACAGGCATGTTGACAGCTGAAGACACAAAGTAGATTAGTGATTGCCAGGGGTGGTTTGGGGGTGGGGGAAATGTGGGGGGATGACGTGTCCTAATGATGACACTCACATTGCACAACTCAGTGAAGAAAAACCACTGGTTACATACTTTCAATGAGTGAATTGTGTGGAATAGCTATTTTCTCAATAAACTTGTTAAAAATCACCTAGGGCTGTGTGTTGGTGGCTCACACTTGTAATCCTAGCTATTTGGGAGGCTGAGATCTGAGGATTGAGGTTCAAAGCCAGCCGAGGAAGAAAAGTCAGTGAGACTCTTACCTCCAGTTAACCAAAAAAAAAGCCAGAACCTGTGAAAGTGTGGCTCAGGTGGTAGAGCACTAACCTTGAGCAAAAGAAACTCAGGGACAGTGCCAGGACTGGCAGGGACCCAGAGGCCAGTGGCTCACACCTATAATCCTAGCTGCCCAGGAAGCTGAGATCCAGAGGATCATGTTTTGAGGCCAGCCCAGGTAGAAAAGTCCATGAGACTCCATCTCCAAAATAGCAAAAAGCCAGCTGAAGCTGAGCAAATGTGAGTCCTTGAGTTCAAATCCTGGTAATCAGGACCAACGGTGTGGCTGAGAAATAGTAGAGTGCCTGCTTGGCAAATACGAGGCCCTGAGTTCAAGCCCCAGTGCTGCTTCCCTCCTGGAAAAAGTGAGGGTCTGAGTTGTAGCTTCCTGGTGTGGCGCTTACCTCGTATGTGTGAGGCACAGCCCTGGAGAAGAAGGAAACGCCATTTGTTTCTCTGGGAAGGCGGGGAGGGTACTGGTGAGGATGGATGGTGTGCTGCTGTGCAGGGAGGGCAGCTGCAGGACATTCACCTCTTAGCCCTGTTTGTCCTTCACAGGAGCTCTCTGTCTTTCCTTTCAGGCTTCCTTACACGGAGTTCTTTGGCGGAGTGAGCGGCCTCACTGTGGAGCAGTTCCGGAAGATCAATGGCTTTCCTAACGCGTTCTGGGGCTGGGGTGGCGAGGATGACGACCTCTGGAACAGGTGTGGACCTCAGGCACACCCTGCCGCCCTGCCCGTGGCCGGACAGGGAGGCGAAGCCAGGGTGTCCAAGCCTCATAACCAAAGGGAGCGGTTGGGTTTAATCGTCTGTTCAGGAAGCTGGCACCCACGGCTGCTCAGGAGGCTGAGATCTGAGGGCCACAGTTCAGACCCAGCTCAGTGAGGAAAATCCATGCAACTCTTTATCTCCAGTTAACTACCAAAAAGCCAGAAGTGGCAAGTGGTAAGAGCTCAAGCCTTGAGCAAAAAAAGCTCAGTGATGGTGCCCAGGCCCTGAGTTCAAGCCCCAGGACTGGCATCTGCGTACACACATGCACGCACACGTGTATGTGTTCAACAGTGTATTTCAGTTGCAGTGGGTGGTGCTGACCCAGTTCACATGAGACATGTCTTAATATGATTTTTTTTGGGGGGGGTCGTCGTGGGGCCTGAACTCTGGTCCTGGGCGCTGTCCCTCAGCTCTTCAGCTCAAGGCTAGCACTCTACCACTTGAGCCAGAGCACCCTTTCTGGCTTTTTTCTTTTTGCTTATGTGGTGCTGAGGAATCGAACCCAGAGCCTCAGGCATGCAAGGCAAGGGCTCTACCACTGAGCCACCTTCCCAGCCTGACTTATATGATTTATATATTTAAATTCCACAGATGTGATAGCACACACCAGCAGTCCAGTACGTCGGAGGCTGAAGCAGGAGGATATGAGTTAAAGGCTAGGCTGGGCTGTGTAGTGAGACCTTGACATGCAGAAATTAAACGACAGTTTCAGTCATCTGTAATCCTATTCAGGAGGCTGAGGATTGAGGTTTGAAGCCAGCCCAGGCAGAAAAACCTTAGCTATAAAATGGCAAAAGCCAGGCTGAAGTGTAGCACATCTTGGGGGCACAGGTTCATCCCACCTCTCTACTGTACAACCCCGAAAGGAGACGCTGAGTTAAAGCACCTGACCACTAGGGGAGGCTTTGGCTGTGTTACGCTGAGTGTCTTCTAAGGGTCTCTGGTCTGTTGTGTCTCGCCCATGGACAGGGTACAGAATGCGGGCTACTCCGTGAGCCGGCCTGAAGGGGACACGGGGAAGTACAGGTCCATCCCCCACCACCACCGAGGGGAGGTCCAGTTTCTCGGAAGGTTGGTACCGACCGTGTTCGTCCCACGTGTTTGTGGGCCTGGCTGACCACCGGGCAGGCCCCTGCGGCGCCTGTGTGCGCGCAGGCTTCCTGAGGCGGGCGCAGGGGAGGTGCAGGCCGCCAGTGTGATTTGGGGAGTCACTCGCTGAGCACCCTGAGTGCGGAGTGGGGAAGGTGTGCGCCGGCCGTGGGCGGGGGGGGGGGCGCTCCCCCCCCCCCCCAGCCCCATGCCGCGTCTGGGCTACCACGTGGTGTCCTGAGCCCCGGTTCCGGCACCACAGCCCGATGCAGGAGGGGGTGGGTGGCTCCGGCCAGCGCCCTTCTCCTGTGAGCCTGGGGGGAGGGGAGCGCTCTCTGCACACCTGTCCCGTCCCTCAGCTCTGCCTCTGGGCCCCCCAGGTGGGCTGGTCTGCGTGGGGTGTCCCTCCCAGCATGGGGTTCGCTGTGGGCAGCGCACGCAGCAGCCAGGGGAGGCAGGCGGGAGGCGGGAGGCGGGCCCGGGCAGTGCCCGGGAGAGGTGGGCCCAGCTGCGTGTCCCCCGCCCAGGTACGCGCTGCTGCGGAAGTCCAAGGAGCGGCAGGGCCTGGACGGGCTCAACAACCTCAACTACTTTGCAAACGTCACGTACGACGCCTTGTATAAGAACATCACCGTCAACCTGACCCCCGAGCTGGCCCAGGTGGGAGACTACTGACAGGACCACCGGGGACGCCGGCCTCCGCGCCGCGGCCCGCGCTGGTCGGGAGTGAAGGACCGGCCGCAGCGAGCTGGGAGGACGGAGCCGAGCTCACCGCGCCGCCGCCGAGCCGCGGGGCGCCTCCGCAGTCAGGAGCCCCAGCCCCGGACGCCGCGAGCTGCCGGGTCTGCCCTGGAGCCGGCCCCCCACACACCCCTCGAGGGGGCCCCGTGGGCAGGCCTCGCCAGCCATCTTCTGCACCTCTGGTGTGCTCTTTGGTTCTTGTTTTTTAAAATGTCCTGCTTCGGTGGGGACTGGGGGAGGGGGGCCTGGCGTCAAGCGGACTCTCCACCTTCGCTTCTTGAAGAAGTCTAACTGTACATAGCGTGTAAATGCCTTTGTAAGATTTAATTTTATAGCTGGCTCCCATTCACAGCAAAGCTTTACGCATCAGATCACTCGTGTGAGTTGCGGTGAGGCCAGGAGGATGCGCCGCTCCCTCCACTGTCACTTGGAAGGGAGTGGTCCAGGTGACAGACCTCCTCTCCCTTCCTCCTGCCGTCCCATGGCGTCCCTGTGGCATCCTTGGCTCCTGCGGCCACACCTCTCTCCCCCTCCTCCTAAACGGGGGCAGCTACTGAGGAGCACCGCGTAGTGTGCTCAGAGCGGCAGGCCCCGGGAGCCGGTGTGGCGGTGCACGCCTGGAGTCCCAGCGCTTGGAGGCTGAGCTGGGAGGACGGGGAGTGAGGCCAGTCTGCGCTGTTCACGCCGCGTCTCCAAAAACGAAACAGGACCTGTGTGGAACTGTGCACAGCCAGCTCCTGGGCCCCCGCGTGTTGGGGAGAGCAGGAGTGTTTGGGGTGATCCTCTGCTCACCCGCCTCAGCCATCCCTGGGCCCTTCTCAGACTTCTGGAAAGATCCCTCGCCGCAGCCTCCACTCCGTCCCCCAGGGACGAGCGCACAGCGAGGCTCGGGTGACAGTGCCGAGTCGGCTGGTCCGGGTGGACGGGTCTCGCCGTGACCTGGATGCCCACAGAGCCCTCCTCCGCGTCCGGAGTCGGATTGCGCACTGCGTTTGAACTTGTGCCTCTTCCCCTGAGCCAAAGCCCTCCGCTCCCGCCAGCCTCTTCTTCAGGATTCCGGAACATGCTAGACTTGCCCCTCCTTTTCCGTAAGGCGTATTTATATATTGTGATTTGGAGTACTTTCTGGAGTGCTTCATATTTTTTTTTAATTGCCTTGTTTGCCTTCGACCTCATTTGATTTTCATGGTTTACACGGGCGTGTGTGGGCATGTGGACGTGGGCGGCGGCTTCCGGCTGCACGCGTGGGTCTGTGGACGTATGACCCCCAGAGCGGGGGGGACCGGCCCGGCCTGCGCTCGCTCCGGAGCCCCGGGCGCGCTGCGGGAACGCCGCGGCTGGGCTGACAGGGCGGCGCTGCCCTGGAGGACGCCGGAGCCTTTCACGCTTCCAAACGCTCACGCCACTCGCTCTTCCTTCGTCTTAGGGTGTGCATAGCAATAAACGTCATGTCCCCCGCCCCTCCATGCCATCCTGCCCTGGCACCCCGAACGCCGGAGAGCCGCAGCTGGGTGGCTCTGGGAAGGCCGCGTCTGCCGGCCAGGGCGATGGGGCTGCGGTTCGGGGCGTCGTGACCCCAGTGGACACTCGGCCTTCGCCCGCCTCCCCCATTCTTCGCGTCTTTGCAAAGTGAGCACAGGAGCAGCCGCCCCAACGGAACCTCTGAACCTCTTAGGCGAGCCTGCACGGCGTGCGCGGCCCAAGTTCAGTACCGCAGCAGGGCACCCGGCCCGCACGCGAGCTGTGCAGACTGAAAAACACGCGTTTAAGCAAAAGGAACAGAAGCTCAGATTCACGCGTTGGGTGGCAGAATCCCTCAGGTCCACTGCTGGGTGGCCAGGGCGCGGCCCTTCATGCATTTTCGTTTTTGGGGTGTTTACAGAATCCTCATTTTGACAGGCGCAGACCCTCGCGAGCGTCCTCTCCGCAGACGGGCGGGGCGTGGCGGCACGGGGCGCGGCCGCTCATCCAGCGCTAGGTTTTGAGCTTGCCTTCATGTTTTAAGAGGTGCCGGGGGTACATTTTTGCACTGAAATCTACGGATGTTTTAAACACTTTTCACAAGAGTAGTCCTTTGTCATTACATTATTTACTCATGTGTTTGTACATTTTTGTATGTTAATTTATGAATGATTTTTTCAGTAAAAACACATTCAAGAACCAAGCTTCGAGACTGGCTCTTTGTGGACTTTGCGGGGCGGGGGAGCAGAGGGGGGGATACACACACACACACACACACACACACACACACACACACACACGGCTCTACTTCGGCTTCTTGCTGGTTAATTGGCCTGGCTTGGAACCACGTCCTTTGAATGGCTGGGATTACAAGCATAAGCTACTAGTACCCAGCGATTGCTTCTGACACTTCACTTTAGATGTTGGAGACTCTTTCACACCAAGCTAACTCCAGGTTCAGATGTCACTGCCTCAGAGCCCGAGCCTGGGTCAGACCAGAATGCCACACCTCTCCTAAGGTGTCTGGACGTGGCTGGCCTAGTCCTTTCTCAAGGTCACGGGGCTGCCAGCCCTTCCCAGCTCTGCTCCAGGGCCGATGGCCGCGGAGGCACGGCGCTGCCTGGCTGCTGGGTTTCTGTTTCAATTTCCTGTCCCCGCAGGGGCCACCCACGGGAGAAACCAGGGCTCTGTAAGGCCTGTCCTCCCCCCGCCCCCCATTTCCACCTGCTCCTCAAAGCGCAGCTGTTACTCCAGCTCTTGGCTCCCCCTCCACCCCCTCAGGCACTCAAGGCCTGGAACACCTGCTGTGGCCCAGAAGGGCCTCATTTCTGGGTGGAGGTGAAGGTGAAGGTGGCCCCTCCCCAGGGCCTCAGTGTGAACCACCTGTTTCTCCTCTGGGGTGCGATGAGCACCTCATTTGGAACTAACTGAAAACCAGGGAGGCTCCAAGCATTTGATTCCTGTATTATAGGCGGTGGGGAGCCAAGGTTGTTTCTTGAGAGTGGCTGTCACAGGAGTTGGTGGATGTGCATCTATCCACCGCTGTATTGAGCATCTGCTCTCCGCCAGTCTCTGAGCTGGCGTGGACCAGCATTCGTGGGTAGGGGTGAGCTGACAGGACACAGGTCGCAAGAAAGAGGTCCAGAGCCTGCTGAGAATTATGAATGAAAGAAAGCCAGGAGGGTGGGGCTTCAGTCAGTGGTCAGGCCCAGAGACAGACTAGACGCTACAGCACGTGCAAAGGCCATGAGGTACCAGCAAACTCCCTGGACTGGAAAAAAGCCAGGAAGCCAATATGGCTGAAGGGAGGGAACGTGGTACAGGCGAAGGGAGTTGCCTGGGCCAGGGGGAGAGCTTGGACAAGGGCAGCCAGAGGCCACTGGGAGGTTTTTTATTTGGGGGGAGGGCCCACTGGGAGTCTGTGCTAGTCAGATGGCTTATCTTGGGCTGGGCTCTGGTCCTCGGCCCCACCCACAGGAACTTGGCCCCTGGCTCATCTCTGCCCTCTGTCCTTTGGGTTGAACCCCGTATCAGCAGGTGGCCCAGACCTCATGCCTCATGCAGCGCCACAGACTGGAGCTTTCTGCAGGCTCAAGAGGGCGGGGGCCTGCCTGAGGCCACACAGCAAAGGGAGGAGGGCGGCTATGATGGCGGCCTGTCACGGGGCTCCTGTGGGACATCGGTCAGGGGCAGTGACAAACTCCCGGGACAGCAGGAAGGGTGTAGACACAGCATGGCTGCCCTTAGCTGCCGAGCCGGACACCGAGGCCCCATGGGCCCCAGCCTCCCAGGACCCCACTGCCAAGGGCACAGGGTCTGGTGTCCCCTGGAGGTTTTAAGATTTGTGTGTGTGCCAGTTCTGGGGCCTGGGGTCAGGAACTGGGCTCTGTCCCTGAGGTTTGTTTTTTTTCCCTCTAGGTAGGCGCTCTACCACTCGAGCCATACCTCCCCTTCTGGCTTTTTGCTGGTTAATTAGAGATAAGCATCTCACACATTTCTGCCCAGGTGACTTTTGGACTGTGATCCTCCGATCTCAGCATCTCCAGTAGCTAAGATTAGATAGACACGTGCACAATCACGTTCCTTGCTGCATAGCCCTTCCCTGGATGAATGGGTGAAGAAAAGCGAGGTACACACATACAGTGGAATTGTACACATCCGTTAGGAAAATAGTACGCCATCATTTGCAAAGAATTGAATGGACCTGGAAAACGGTATGCTAAGCTCCCACCCATGGGCACTGGCGCCCCTGGTGGCCGGAGGAGACATTGCAGGCATCGGAGTAGCCTGCCCCAGCTGCCCTTCAGGGTCACCTCCCCGGCTCCCGGCCTCCCTGGCCCCTCACAGTCTAATCTATCAGGGGGCCCCATTGGAGTCAGCAGGTGGGGAGGGTTCCCTACTCATCCACAGCAGAGCCAGGCCCCCAGAAGACCCTGGAGTGGGGCTCTGCCATGTAACACGGGAGTACGCCCACCCCGCTGCATTCTCCCTACACCCAGACTCACCGAGAGCGAGCGCACGGGTGGCTCACGCCCATCATTCTAGCTACTCAGGAGGCTGAGATCTGAGGGTCAAGGCCAGCTTGGGCAGGAAAGTCTGTGAGGCTCTTCTCTCCAGTTAACCAGCAAAAAGCCAAAAGTGGTGCTGTGGCCCAGGCGGTAGAGCGCCAGCAGCATCCAAGCCCAAGTTCAAGTTCTGGTACTTCCTACGTGGCATTTATCTCACCTGCTGATTTGGCTCTTTGTTCATCTGTGTGAGCAGCTGCTGGGGCAAGGGGAGGGAAGTGGGGGGTGGGGGAGACCCTGCCGTTCTCTGTATGGTTCTCCCTGGTCCCTCTCTGGCGGCTCAGCCAGCATCCAGTCTGCCCCGCACACAGGCGGTGCTCAGCATCTGTGCAGACTCAACAGCAGCGTATCAGTGGAAGGAAGAAGGCGGTCCCTGCCTTACACCAGAACTTAGGGTGTTCCAGTCCCACCGCCAGCTACAAGCTGTGCCGCCTTGGATGGGCTCGTGAGCTTCTCTGGGCCTCAGTGGCCCAGCGGGAATAAACGTGGTCCCCCACCTTGCATTCCCACAGTGGATTGCAGCAAGGCCAGGCACTAGCCCACAGTGAGCGATGGGGCAGCGATTCGGGCTGCTCTGGGGGCAAACAGGAGGTGCTCAATAAGGACAGTAGCTTCCCTCGTCCCCTTCCACCTCTGGAAGGGGTGGGCTTGTGTCTGTCATCCTCGTGCTCATTAAGTGTGGTGTGGAGGGGAAGGAGATGGGTGTTGGCTGCACTCTGTCCCAAAGGCCCAGGGGAATACCTGTCCCCCTTGGGGTGACTACTGTGCTGCTGTCATTCCACAGAGTGGCCACAAGGGGGAGAGCGGGAGCTGCCAGCCCCCAGGACAGGTGTCGGGAGACAGCCTGCTGACACCCAGTGTCCCGGCACCTTCCTCCCCCCAGCCCTGGGCCTTCCTGGGCCATCCTGGCCGGAAGAGCCCCGCTGCACCAGCATCTGCCCCCACACAGGATGGGACAGGGCGGCCACCAGCAGGCCGGGTGCTGGCCACCAGTGCATGACCCAGTTAGGGCCTGCCTGGGTTGGTGGAGCTCCGCCTTTGTGGCTGCTGTGGCTGGAGTTTGACCTTGGGTGACCTGTGGGAGGCAGGAGGAAAGGAAGGGACATTCGTGGGGTATTGAAAATGTATTGAAGTGGCCTACCTGCTGAGAAAGGGGACTGTCTGAGACTCGGAGGCCAGGGGAGCCCAGAAAGGCAGTGTTTGATCCAACCGTGAGGGTATGCCCTGGGGAGGGGCGGAGGAGGAGCTGTGGCTGGAAGCTGGGAACCCAAGCAACATGCAAAGGTCCTGGGGTGGCTAAAGGAGCCTCAGAGGTGTGCCACAGAAAGCATAGGCCCTGAGTTCAAGCCCCAGTGCCGTCACAGAAGAAAAGTTGACTGGTACTGGTGGCTCACACCTGTAATCCTAGTTACTTAGGAGGCTGAGATCTGGGGATCATGGCTGGAAGCCAGCCAGGGCAGGAAAGTCTGTGAACCAACTAGGATAGTAGTAAGAAAGAGCTAAAAACAGCTACTGCAGGGACTGGGAAGGTGGCTCAGTGGTAGAGCGCTTGCCTCGTATGCCTGAGGCGCGGGTTCGATTCCTCAGCACCACATAAGCAGAAAAAGCTGGAAGTGTGTGTGTGTGTGTGTGTGTGTGTGTGTGTGTGTGTGTGTGTGTGAAAGTGAGATTCGAGGCAGCTCCAGCTTTGTCACATGGATGAGAGCCCAGAGCAAAGATTCTAGAAGCAAGCTGACTTTCTCCCTGGAGTTGTTCACAGCCGGAGCACGGGGCTCCTGGTGGGGAGGACTTCCGGGGGGGGGGGGGGGGGGAGCACTCGGGGTCAGGAGCGCCACTGCCTGCGGTGGGGGGGGGGGACCGGGGGCTGCGGGCCTCGATCCCAGACAGACCCTCCAGCCCTGGGGTGCCCCAGCTCGCAGGGGGGAGACCCGGGAGCAGGGGCTCTGGTGGGGCTCAGCCGGGCCCACGGGGCGCCCGTGTCTCCGGGTGACTTTTTTTAGCTCGGTTTGTTTGTCACGGCAAGATGTTCCCTCACCGTCAACTTTCCCCGCAGGGTCTGGAAACCATTTCCAGATGGGAAGTCATTTGAGGGAAGAAAAATGGCTGGAATTACAGACTACTGTGCTGCCAGCACCCTGCCCCACCCCACCGGCCAGCAGGCCCTGGAACTTTCCTGAAGCTGGAGGTCTCTGATGAGGACAGCCTTTGCTTTGGCGGGTGCATTTAGAAGCTGTTCCCTCCACCTCATCTCTGTCTGTCTGTCTGTCTGTGCTGGGGAGGGAACCCAGAGCCTGGCACACACTAAGCTAAACCAGCTCCATTGATCAAGGCTCAGCCCACCCACACAGGCCAGTCATAGCCGTGGCTGCCCACGGGAGGAGGAGCCCAGAAGACCCAGGGAGCCGCGAGGTGGGTGGACGGGTGGACGCTGAGGAGTGGGGGCTGGGGGCTGGGACAGGCTGGGGTTTCAAGGCTGAGGAGAAGTGAACTTTGACCCATCTCTCTGCTGCAGGACTGAAGGGGAGCAGGGCTGGGAACCCCTGTTTTCTAGTGGGTGCCGCCATGTGCTCACCGCTGTTAGAGCGTGTGTCTGTCTTTGTGTCTGTGTGGTACCGGGGCTTGAACTCAGGGC